AGGTGGAGAATTCCGAAGGCACCATCTGGGGCCAGGTAGGGCCGAAAGGCAGTCGGCCTCCCCCCCCCCCCCCCCCTCGGCTGTTGACTCGGACCCTCCTGCCTTCGGATACCCATCATCCCCTGAAGGGCAGGTGGCTTGGGACGTGGGTGACCCTGACCCTCTCCTTCCTTCGTCCTCGTTCAGCTCGGGGAGGACTCCGACTACGACAAGCTGAGCGACATGGTCAAATACCTGGACCTGGAGCTGCATTTTGGAACTCAGAAGCCGGCGAGTGAGTCTTCCTCCGTCTCCCCTTGACGGCCAAGCGCCAGGAACCCTCCGCCGGTCTCTGGGGGGTGGCCGCGGGAGGCAACCAGGCCACCTGCGGCCCTCCAGCAAGCCTCTGGAGTCTGCTTTCTTGGACCTTGCCAGAGCCTGCGCCCCCCCACCCCCAAACATGGGTTTGCACAAAGCAGGAGAAGGACACCTCCAGAAGCTTCCTGGGGGCTCCTTTCTCTCTAACCACCATTGCCACAGTGACACCTCCCCACCCCAGATTAGGCTGTTCACTTTCCTCCCTTCATTCTCTCTGGCCAGAAACAGATTATATACAATCTGTCATTAGAAGAAAGACATTCTTGACTGTTGAAAGCGTCTGAGTATACAGCAGGAATAATTCACCCATCCCTAAACTTTGCAGATTTGTATGCTTTGTTTGGTAATTGGCCTTTGGGACTTGCGCATGGGGTTCTTCCCCTGTTTGGTTTCTTAAACATGGGAGCCTGCCTGAACCACCTCTCTCCAACACTCATGTGCTTCCAGCTGTCCTTGCTGGCTGTGTGCGCCATCTGTTTCTCCTCCTTGTGGGTGCTTGTTTTCCCACATCTGTGTTTTAGTTCTTTGCTACCTTCCCATTATCGCTGGACCAATGCAGTTATTTGTACTGGTACATGCATACATTCCGGCCCGGAACCCGTGGCAAGGAGTAAAGGTCCAGAAGGCCGGGGGGGGCGCTAGTAGGCAGGGTCTCATTTCAAGCTGTTGTCTGGACTTCTGGACAGATCTCATGTGTTGTCTTGCCTTTTGCAGCCGAGCTTCTGCTTCCCGGCCAGGCGTGCATGGGCCACTTTCAAGGATTTCCCAGCATGCCTCATGCCAGACCTGCAGTTCCACATCTCTCCCCCCCCTTCTAGCCCCACTGAGCCCCTTCCTCATTCTTCCTTGTTCACCTTGTTCTATCCCCCCCCCTTCCTGGAGTCCTCCGAACCCCATCCTTACCTCTGATTACATCTTTCAGTTTCTCTTCCAGAGCCGAGCCCCTTGCCAGAGTCCTTTAAAAAGAAAGATGTGGTTGAGATTCTCTCCCACAAAAAGGCCTATAACACAGGTAAGTGGAGCACAGAGTGGGTTATGGGGCCGAGAGACAGGTGCCTGGGCTGTGGAAAGGTAAGGGGGGGGCCAAGAGATTGACCCCTTCAGGACGCCTGACACCTTTGGGGAAATGATTATTCGTTTGTTCGTTTGTTCATTCGTTTGTTATCTGGGTGGTTCACAGTGGGATAAAACAATACACAACCAATGTTAAGCACACTAATCCACATACAAAAACAACACCGAAATAACTAAAACTGATTAAAAAACTAATTATGGGCCTAATGGGGGTGGTGGTGGTGGGGATGACTAAGAATAAACTTTTTTGGCTGCCCCCCTTCCTGCCCCTCTGCAGGGGGTCAGGGGTTTCTGGGTTTCTCACAGTGGGATAAAACAATACACAACCAATGTTAAGCACACTAATCCACATACAAAAACAACACCGAAATAACTAAAACTGATTAAAAAACTAATTATGGGCCTAATGGGGGTGGTGGTGGTGGGGATGACTAAGAATAAACTTTTTTGGCTGCCCCCCTTCCTGCCCCTCTGCAGGGGGTCAGGGGTTTCTGGGTTTCATCCACGTGGACCCCTCTCCTCTGTTTCCAGCACATGTCAGGGCGTCTCCCAAATCCCAACAACAAAACTAGCAAAGCACAGAAAGAACATAATTTGCGCAAAGGAAAAATGCCAACCGCTGTAACCGTTGCCCAGAAGTTTACTCAAAAACACAGGCTGGTGCCGTAGCGATAAACGTGGGAGTGCCCAGCCTGGCAGCGCAGAGACGAAATTATGTACACAACCAGACAAAGCACTGAAGTTTACTAAACAACATCTTTCTATTGTGCTGATCTTTATGCGACGTTAAATCTTTCCCTGTGGTTTGTTTTCTTGCTGTCCTTTTGCGTTGCTTCAGTCTGTACGGTTGTTTATGTCGTTTCTCATGTTGGCCTTTTGGCCTGGCGGCTCTGGGGTGGGTGACCTCTTTCTGGACCAGCCAGTGGGCTGGTGGAGGTTTCTTCAATGATGCCATTCTTGTACCACCATTTGTGCACTTTTGTGTGTGTGTGTGTGTATGCGTGCTGATATTCCAAAATGCCAGCCCCCCTCTCGGGCTCCCTCCTGGCCACCCTGCCGTCCTGAGCCCACTTCTCTCCCTCTCTCTCTCTCTCTCCCCGTGCCCAGCCATCCTGATTGCGCACCTCAAGCTCTCCCACATCGAGCTGCGCCAGATCCTCCTGACCATGGAGAGCGACCGCCTGGAAGCCTCGCACATCAAGCAGCTGCTGCTGTATGCGCCCGACACGGAGGAAGTGCAGCAGTACGAGAACTACCAGGGAAACCCCAGCAAACTCAGTGAGCCCGACCAGTTTGTCCTGCAGGTGACCTCCGGGCTCGGTGGAGAGCAGGGTGGGGTGGGGGGTGGCACCGCGGGGGTGATGGGTTTGGGGTGGGAGGGCAGGACAGGCAGGTTCTTCTCTGTGCCATCGGGCAGGCGGGCTTCCTTTCTCTTCCAGATGCTTTTGGTCCCAGAGTACAAAACCCGGCTACGCAGCCTTCACTTCAAGACCACCCTGCAGGAGAAGACGGAGGAGATCCTGGCCAGCTACGAGTGCCTTTACAAGGCCTCCGTGGAGCTCAAGACCAGCAAGAAGCTGGCAAAGATCTTGGAGGTCAGCCAGGTCATGCTCGTAGGGGCCCAAGGCAAAGAACCCAACGGGGACCAACAGGGGCAGGAATGGGGCTCAGTGGCTGAATCAGCCCGGGGTGGAATGGGGCCTCCTCCCTGGTCAAGGGTGGCTCCCCTGTGGCTTGACCACTCTGCGTTTTCCTAGCCCAGGAGGCAACATGAGGAAGGCATTAGGAAGGAAGACTATTTTTTTCTCGTTAATGCTTAGTGGAGTTGATTGGGGAGGGGGTGGTTCTCTCCAGCTACACTTTGGCAGATGCTTCCAACAGCTGAGACATTCCCATCTCCTTTCGAAGGGTATGTCCATTCCTTAGGGCCCGGCCTGATACCAGGGGCCTCCCTAGAACAGATGCTGCTTCCGTGTCTATAATCAGTGCTACTTTAAGACAAAAGAATGGTCTGCATATTCTGCTATCTGCTGGTTAAGCTTGCTTTTGGTCCACTGGGCCATCACTTGGGCTTTGCTGGTGTGTTTTATGCCACGGGGTGACTAGCACTGAAATAGTTGAGTACCTAGAGGGACAACATGATCAGAGGAGGTGCTTGTCTCATTTTTTTTTTACTTTGCCTGATGGGCAGCTCTCCCAGGATTCAGTCAGTGGGTTGTTTTTCATGCCTTGCTTGCTGCGACCCTTTTAAATGGAAGGCTGGAGAGAGGAACCCAGACCTTTCTGGTTCCAGAGCACCCCTGAGCCGCTGGCCCTTTGGCCGCTGGCCCTTTGGCCTTTTTCCCCTCCCTGTTTGCAGAAGATGGCCTGTCCCCCCGCTTCCAACACATCTTCATTTCAACTCCTGTTTTCCCCCCGTTGTTCTGCATTTCCAGGGTTGCACATCTGCACAAGAATAGAAAGGTCCATAGGAAATGGATAATGTCTTAAGTTAATAGTTAATAAGCTGAATAACTTAATTTCATTATGTTTATGTTCAAAGGGCAGTGTTTTAAACAATTAAGTTACTTTTAAAGCAACCTTTACATTGATGTTGCGTTATGACGCTAAAAGACGGCATAAAACGGAACAGGGGAAATTCCAGCCACAGCTTTCCCCCTTCAGATTTTCACGAAGTAACTTCTAGATCAGATTCAGGGTTTTTGGTGGGCCCCCGGGCACTCAGCTGGCAGAGAATCCTAGGACGGTAAATCCGGGAGGGGTCCCCAAGGGTTATGAAGCCCAGCCCAGCCCCAAGGAAGGAGAACATCCAAAGCTCTCTGCACTTTATCCCCAGATCTGCCTTGCAAGGAAGAGCGGGTTAAGAGAGAGGAGTTGGTCCAGGGTGCTTCCTGGCTCTCTGGGGGGGGGCTTAAATTTTGGGATCCCGAAGGAGCCGAGGGTTGCAGATTCGGGGCAGTCCCTGAAGCGTCTTCCACCCACATTTTACTCAGCAGCCTCTCTGACTTAAGAAAGAGCATCACTCTAACATTAATGCTAACTTAAGGGTGGATAAACGCACCCCAAACTGAATCATGGTCCCTTTAAAAATTATAATTGCATCAAATTGTCCTTTCCTGTCAGCAAATTTCCAAACGTGATGCTTACCTGTGGGTTTCAGTATCTCACTTTTTATCCTTGAGTTTGGAGACTGATCGCTGTTGTGGGTCAGACTGACTCTGGGGCCAAGGGGGGGGGAAGGGGCTGCCCAAGATTTACATCCACCCTGCAGGGTAGGAAACACCCTCCCTTTGTCTTCCCGACTGCGTCTGGGCCTGGGGGAGCCTCCAGCCTTACCGGGCTGCCCGGAGGGTCCCAAGGAACAGGAGGGGGAGTCAGAGTCGCACTTTCTTTTCTCCAGCGTCTGGGGCCAGATGTCTTACAAGGACCAAGACGGGGGAAAAAAACTGGGTTCGGTACCAAGGCTGTTGGAAGTGAAGCCACCACAAATCTTTTAAGGAGGCAGTTTTATTCACAGGGGACAAGAGAACGCGGGAACAAAAGATACAGAGCACACCAGAGGAGGGAAGGGTTTGGAAAAGTACCAGCCAGCAAAAATAACTAACCGAACTTAACCCTGGCTGTACCTACCGGCCTTTATGGAACAAGGGAGAAGGACTGTGGGGTGAGACAACCCCCCCTCCCAGAAAAGCAGCTCCCCAAAAAATATGGTGGATTTGGCATTCAGCCCCATCTTTTACAACGGCCAAAGATTTGTTAAGCGCTCCCGAGGGGAGTCCCACAAACCAAACTCTGGCTGAATAGCCCCAGAATCCTTGGTCGTTTCTGGGACCACGGAAGGTTCTCATGAGGGTGTGACGACGACGCTGGCCCTTATGGTGCAGGGGAGGGAGAGCAGTCTAAACAGGGTCGTTTGAGGTTAAAGGGGGGGGGAAGAGAGAGGAGCAGTGCACCCTTTGGCCTGATCCTCACATCCATATGGCAGATTGACCTCAAGCGACCCTCGGGTGCTTTCCGCTGTCACGTGTCTGTTGAACACTTGCCATTGAATGGGGAGAAAAAAGGGGGGGAAGAGGGATCCATGTCACAAAGTGGGTCAGGAGCCCCTGCTCTGCTGTGCAAGGAGGCCAGAAAGGAGCCAGCGAGCGAAGGAGCCCCATCTCCCCTTCCAGGATAAGGAAGGAGGGGAAGACAAGCAGGAAAGAGAGGAGAGGGGGAAAGAACGCCCAGGCGAAAGGAGCTGGGTGGATTCACCATCCACCGGATGGCTCTGTGCATCTGTGCACATGTGGCTTGTGTGCATGCATGCCGAACAAGACGAAGAACAAAGTGGGAAGAGGGTGCAGGACCCTGACAGTCCTCAGAGGAGGGTGTTGAGAAGAGGCATCGCATGGCCAAGACCTCACCAAACCATCTAATCTAGAGTGAAATTATTATTATTTGACTCTGCTTGACTATCACTGATGCACTGAATCACTTAGAATTATTTGACTCTGCTCGACTATCACTGATGCACTGAATCACTTAAATTAAATTTTAAAAAATATATTTGTGTGGTGCTAATCAAGAAACTGCTCACAGCTGGGGTTCAGATCAACACTTCACACAAAGGCAAAAAAATAATAATTATTTTTAATTGCATCTAGAAGACCTCTTGTTTTGGTGTCCCAAAAAAGAAGGAAAGAACTTGTAGGATTAACCCATTGCTTACTCATCTTTGCAGTTTGTGCTGGCCATGGGGAACTACCTGAACCACGGGCAACCGAAGACCAACAAAACAACCGGGTTTAAAATCAACTTCCTCACTGAGGTAAGTGGTGGTCAAAGCCCTTGTGGGGAACACGGGAGTGTCCTCCCCCCCCTGCCACCGCCTTTGGTTGAAGGAAGGACGCTGTGTCCTCCCTCATCCTGCTCCTAATGATGAACCAAGAATGGCTGATTTCACACAGTCCATATCTGTAGGACCCCATTGTAGCTGTTGGATAGAAGCTTCATTGCCCCCCCCCGCTCTATCCTAAGGAATTCTGGGAACTGTAGTTTGGTGAAGAATGTGGAATTGCCTGGTGTAGTTCAAGGAAGGAAACTAGTGTTCTCTAGTGGGGAAACCAAGGTTTCTTTCCCAACCCCTTTCCTTTCGGCTGCAGCCAGGACATTTTGGAGGCATGGCAAAGATTGCGTTGTGCCAAGGCTAAGCGTCCTTGCCGGCCATTTTGATGCTTCGTTTCGCCTTCTCGTAGCTGAACACCACCAAGACTGTCGATGGGAAGTCCACCTTTCTGCACATCCTCGCCAAATCCCTGAGCCAACATTTCCCAGAGCTCCTGGGCTTTGCCCGGGACCTGCCCACGGTGCCACACGCTGCCAAAGGTTAGCCACTGCCTGGGACGCGACGTGGGCGTGTCTGAGCGGGGTGTCCGGGACTGACCTTCCAAAGGGCCTCTCCGGTCTGCCTCTGGAAGGGTGACCCCCGGGCGGATTTCCCCATTTAAATCTATGTGTGAAGGAAACCAAGGGGATGAGGATGGAAAGCAAGCCCTCTGTTTTCCAAGCCAACCTGATATCAGAACAGCTTTGCATTGGGAGGTCCAGCGAGGCTGGTCACTCCCTCCTCAAGTGTTTTCTCTCCTGGAATGTAGATGCATGTGTGCAAGGGCCTGACCCGGGTTTTCTGCTTGCTGCCGACCCAGGACAGGTGGAGAGACAGTGCCAGCTGGGAGGGTGGGTTGGCCTCTCAGCCTCTCGCTTCTTCCCACCATGGCGAAACATGGGTGTGATCCTGCTGCAGAACAGGGCTTGGCATGGTAGGGCAGGCTGCCACTGCTTGCCTTCACCAAACCTGGCCATTCTGCCAAGAGCTGCCCTTCCCCAACTTTGGGGGGGAGGGTGGCCAGGAGATTGCCCGGCCAGAGAAGGAGAGGTGGCTGCTAGGATCCTGCCCTCTGACCCCCTTCTCTGCCTTAGTGAATCAGAGAACATTAATGGCTGACCTCAACGACCTTCATTCCACCGTTGGGGAGATCGAGATGGCCTGCCAGAACATGGTGCCTTCCCCGGAGGACAGGTTTGCTACTGTGATGGGCGTATCCTTTGGCCGAAAGGACCCGGGAGCGGTGGATTCCCCTTGGCAAGTCAAGGTCACCTCGAAGAAGGAAGATCCCAAGTGGGCAGACGTTCAGTGGCCGAGCCGCTCTACCCGCTCCATGCTGACTCCGGCCTGGGAGTAGAGTTGTTGGTTCTCAAACTTGGGTCCCCAGATGTTCTGGGATTACAACTCCCGGAGATCCTGGCCAGCACACCTGGCGGTGAAGGATTCTGGGAGTTTGAGTCTAAGAACCTCTGTGGACCCAAGATTTGGAACCACAGGTTACTTCCTCCCACCATGGCGAAACACGGGTGTGATCCTGCTGCAGAACAGGGCCTGGCACAGTAGGGCAGGCTGCCATGGCTTGCCTTCACCAAACCTGGCCATTCTGCCATGAGCTGCCCTTCCACATCTTTGGGGGGGAGGGTGGCCAGGAGATTGCCCGGCCAGAGAAGGAGAGGTGGCTGCTAGGATCCTGCCCTCTGACCCCCTTCTCTGCCTTAGTGAATCAGAGAACATTAATGGCTGACCTCAACGACCTTCATTCCACCGTTGGGGAGATCGAGATGGCCTGCCAGAACATGGTGCCTTCCCCGGAGGACAGGTTTGCTACTGTGATGGGCGTATCCTTTGGCCGAAAGGACCCGGGAGCGGTGGATTCCCCTTGGCAAGTCAAGGTCACCTCGAAGAAGGAAGATCCCAAGTGGGCAGACGTTCAGTGGCCGAGCCGCTCTACCCGCTCCATGCTGACTCCGGCCTGGGAGTAGAGTTGTTGGTTCTCAAACTTGGGTCCCCAGATGTTCTGGGATTACAACTCCCGGAGATCCTGGCCAGCACACCTGGCGGTGAAGGATTCTGGGAGTTTGAGTCTAAGAACCTCTGTGGACCCAAGATTTGGAACCACAGGTTTAGGGGGGAAACCAGAGGACACAGGAAGGTTTTTGACAACCCCCCCAAGAACCCTTAAAAAATCAGCAGCAACTCATAAAGGGGGGGGCATTTCAAGGAAGTGTCATCTTTCATTTTAACGGCTTGTGTGGGTCGCCACCAAATTTCACCTCAATTTCTTGCAATGAATTGAAAGCAGTGAAATGTTCGCTTGAGATGTTGTCTCCCTTCTTGTCGACACCCAGTTTTGGTGGCACCGGGAGGCGCAGTCCACGGCAGCTCCCAGAGGGTGGGGGTGGGGGGGGGCCAATGGGGGCCCAGAGCAGCTAAAGGTGAACACCCCGTGATGGGCGTATCCTTTGGCCGAAAGGGCCCGGGAGCGGGGGGCTTCCCTTTGGCCCTTCTTCCTTGCGGTGATTTGGAACCTCTCCCTTGCTGTTGCCCTCCAACTCATGCATGGGGGACCATTGGCCCTCCCCTCCCCTCCCCTCCCCCATCACCCGAGGAGACCCTTGGTCCTTAGCCCCGCTCCTCAGGCCTTCCTGGAGGAGGCGCGGCCGGCCATCCAGGCCCTGGCGGACCTGCAGCACAAAGCCATGGAGGAGTTCCACCAGGTGCTCTCCTTCTTCGGAGAGGACTTCAAGGCCACCACCTCGGAAGCTTTCTTCGGCATCTTCGCAGAGTTCATGAGCAAGTTTGAGGTGAGGCCCAGGCGGCTCATTTCCAAACTTTCCTTTTGTGCTGTAATAGCCCGTCAAGGGTGTTTCGCCTCGTTGGGTTCGGGTGGCATGGATTTTTGCCAGGCTCTTGCCCCACGGCACTGGAAACCTGCGAGTTTTTTGGAGAAGCCAAATAGTAGGACAGATGGAGTCCTTCTAGTGACTCCTGTCCTAAGGCTTAGACTCTCTCTCTCTCTCTCTCTCTCTCTCTGTGTGTGTGTCTGTGTGTGTGTACTCTGCCATCCTCTCTCACCCTCCTGTCCTTCGCTCTCTCCCTACATTGCAGCGAGCCTTCAGCGACGTGCAAGCCAGCGATCCCCACCATCCTCGGGTGACCCCACCTCTTGCCTGGTGACCGGATGGCTGAGGACAGCAGCCTTGGGTGGGGAACCTTCTCTCTCCCCCCCCCTTCCTCAAGAGCACAGTTGCTTCCGGTTGCATCTGGCTGTACATACAAAGGATTTGCGCTTCACCGTGAGTTGTGAAGGGGCATCGGGCCCGTTCTGGTGCTGTAAGAGCATGCTCCTGCAGTCGCTCCACGGGGCCCAGTGTGAGGGGCCTGAGAAGGGCTCACCCCCCCGGGACTCCGAGGCTCTGGCACCTTGGATTGCTCCAACCCACTCCAGCAGCGGGCGCTCTTCAGGGCGGGCGCTCCTGAGGACAGAGCAGGGCCTGGACATTTGTTGTATCCAGAAGCTAAGAGAGGCCAGGCCGGGCCGTGTGGGGCTCTCCAGATGTTTTGATTGACAAGCCCTTCCATCTTTGAGGGCTGCCCTGGTTGGCTGTAGTTTCGGAGAACCTGGAAGGCTCGGGGGGGGGGGCAAACTCAACTCAAGCTTGGCCAACCCCTTCATAGGAGAGAGCCCGCCTGTTTCCCCTTGAAATACCAGGAGCTGCCTCACGAGGAGTCCAACGCCTGCTCTGTTTCGTCCGGGAACCCAGGTTGCTTTCCAGCGTCTCCGTCAGGGCCCCTCCCAGGCTCCCCTCCTGCCGTTTGTCTTAGCTGGAGATCCAAGGTCCATCCCACTGGGACCTCAGCCCCCCCCCTTGGGCTCTGAAGAAGAAGGACCAATTCTGCCCCTGCCGCACTGCCCCCCCCCCCAGAAAGCAGCTTCTCCGAGGCCTTGGCTGAAAGCACAGATTCGCCACCCAGTGCATTAACGACCACCTCTTGCGGTTTCTTGCGTTTTTTTTTTCTTTTCTAATAACGCGTTGGGTCTGGCCAGGCCAGCCCTTCCCCAACACCAAACGGGTTTTGCCGTCACTGCTTCAAGTGCCAGGTGCTGGGCCCGCTTGGTCTGCTCCCCATTCCCGACCGGTTACCTGGCCTCCAGCTGGCATCGCCCCCAAAGGGCCGTTCTTTCAATCTTTGGAGGCTGTTTTATGCCTTTGGCTGTCCCTGGTGGTAACTGTGTGATCAGTCAGGCAGCGAGGACCACGGAAGCCTCAGTTCCCATTCTGCTGCCAGGATTCTCCAAGACTGAAGTTCCCTTATTGAGGAAAAAATATATACAGTATATATGTATATGTGTATGCCTGGATCAGTGTCTCCTCCCTCATTTATGTATTTCTCTACAATAAACAACACCCCCCACAAACACAAAGGCTACCCCGTGCAAAACTGCTTCCTTTGAATAACTGTCTCCTCCTGTTTCCAATCCAAGTCAAAGCATCAGGAGAAGCTTTGCATTTCTGGGAAAGTCCATTTGACATAAAGGAAGGGTCCTAACTGGACACGTGCAAGCTGGGTGCATTTCTGATAAGCTCAGGTGTGGGTGTGGGTGGCTGGCTGTTGTGCACAAACAGAGGATCAACAAATCCTGGCATTGTGGAGAACGCCGCTCTTGGAACGGCCAGCTTTTTAATAGCCAAGGGCCTAGTCCCTAGGGTTGAAAAGATCTCCCTAAGTGTGCAAAGGAACAACCGGTAGAAGGCCTTGAGCCAGAGGGCACCGGCCAAGGGTTGGGGCGTCAGCGCTTTTCCCGGGGCTCCCATGCAAAGGAGACGTACAGCAAGCAAAACCAAACCAGACAAATGGTTCAAAATGCCCGGTTCAAGGCTGACCTTCAAGGGACGGCCCCGTGAGGAGAGCTGCCCTTTCTCCATGTCACCTGACAGCAGAGGAAGGGGGAGAGACAGACTAGCCCATCTCGGGCATCAAGGGCAGGTCCCTCACCACGGATGGTGCTCTGCTGTGCCCTTTTGCTCACAGCCAGGAGCGTGGCCGTGGGGGAACGTCGGCGCATTACTCGGAAACATGCTGGGCTCTTTTCGTCTCACATCTGGCGCTTGCTGGACATTGGCTCTCCCTCTCCCCCCCCCGGTGCCAATGGCCCTGATGGCATGCGCGGCTGTTGTGGATAATGCCACCTTCTGTCAGGGTGGAGGGGGTGGGGGGGAATGTTTCTCACGAACAGGCTGCCCTGCTTGGCGGCCTTGAGGCTGGCGATCATTAACAGGCACCGACGGGCTGGCCGCCTTGCTCGCTCAGGGGCAAAATGTTTTCCGGCAAGTGGGTGTGCTGATCTGTTCCAGCAGGCTGAAGCCAAAAGGAAGAACCAACAAAACGCCCCAGAGGGACTGGCACAGACGCCTGTGGCCCCTGAAACGTGGGCAGGCGCTGCCGTCCCGGCCGGGAGAATCCTCATCGAGTTCTTCCAAGGCGTTGCCGAAAAAGGAAGGCGTGGAACCCAAGCCTTCTCTGCCCCTGGAGAGCAGGAGATCTTCCTGAGCAACTTCCCTTTCCTGTGCTCAGAGGCGTCTGCACGCAGTCCCCTGCGCTCGTGCGTGTGAGCGCCAAAAGCACCCTTACCCAGCGGGGGCTGGCGTGGGACCCTTGCCATTCATCAGGGGCTTGGTCCTTGCTTTGTGCCCTGGTGGCACCCATCCTGCCCCTGATGACCTCTTGCAGAGGAAAGGAAGACCAGCACCCACGAGGCAGGGCGGACAAGGCTGGGTCTCTCTGGGGTCCTGGCCGAGGCGCCAGCCACCCGTGCCTCGGCCAGAGGCTCTGCCATGGTTGCCCTGCCCAAGGAACTGCCAGGCCTTCTCAAGACCCCGGGGGGGGAGGGTGACTCTGGCCCGTGGCCCATGTGACCGCCTGAGGTCATGGCGGGCAGGATGCCCAGAGCCTTGGGAGAAGCCTCGCTTTGTGTCTGTTGGGGGGGGTGGAGGGCAGCGACCGAGACCCGTCACTCCCTTGGCCAGCCAGGCAGCCTTGCAGCAGCAAAGAAGGCCGCTGGAGACCGAGGGGAGGACCCGGGTGCCAGGCGGGCCAGAGATCCGTCTCAGGAGCTTTATGGGGAGTCCCGGTCCGAGGGGATGAAGGCACATCGACCAGCGGGTATGCTTTGGCCAACCTCTGCTCAGACAAACCAGCCCTGCAGGGCGGGAGCCGGTGGGCCCACCTCTTGCCGGTGCATGAGTTCCAGGTGCCGAGGCTGCGGGCGCACGGAGAGGCACGGAGCACGCCCTGAGAAGGCCAGCCTGCGATGTCCAAGGGGCGGGAGGGGGGCAGGTTCATGGCTGTTCAGGACCATCTCCCCCCCGCCTTCCTTTCACTTTCTCAGACTGAGGCCGCCGGGAGGGTTAACATGATCCCCAGCCTGAGAAGGCATTTCGTTTGCTGCTGTCGCGCCTTTCTCTGCTTGGAATGCCTGAATCCATTGGGGTTGACTCCCAGGGAAAGGAACAGGGAGGGCAACGCGCTTGTTTTCCATCTTGCTCTACAGGGAGAAAAATACAGAGAATCGGTTCTCTCTCCTCTCTCTCTGGCTCGCTCTGTTATTGTAGGAAGAAAACAACAGTGGCAAAATAGACAATTCCAGGCTTGTTGTGTTTTTTTAAAAAAAAAAAAACAGTGGGAAGAAGAGAATGTGTGGAATTTGAAACATCATTTTACTGGCCTCCCACTTAACTCCTAACATTACAACTATTTTTCTGCAGAAGAGGTAGACCCCTCCGTTCTTGCCAGTACCATGTACTGTATCTGCTGTTGCTTAGACCTAAATCAGGGTATTGATGAGCAAAGGCCAGAGGTGGGCCATGGGTGGGCTGGAACGGCCGTGAGCTCCAGCATGCAGCCCTGGCAGCTCTGCTCCAGCGACCACGACGTGGCCCCACCAGCTGTGTGGGGGCGCCCTCGTGGCCCCAAAGTTAATTAGGAACATGTCTGTTTTTGAATGAGGATGGGTGGAGGGAGGGTGGAGCCTGGAGTTGTCAGGATGCCACCGAGCTTGGCAGAGAAGGGAGGCTGAAGGACGGCCGGAGAGCTGAGGGGTTTGACCTCTCTGGCTGGAGAGCCAGAGGACGGGAGTTTGGTTCCCCTGCTGTGCCTCCTTGACAGGGACCGGACTGGACGGTCCCTACAAAGCTATGCAGTTTTCAGATGACGATGATGAAGAATCCTCTCACCAGCCTCTCTCTCCTCTGCTCAAAAGCAGCTCTCCCTCCCTCCCTCCTCTCTCCTCTCTCCTTCCATGGGGACGTGGGAGTATCCCATGCTTGCCACACTCGCCAGCCTTTCTACTGGCATTTTTTCGTCCTGACCCATCTTTCACCCACAGCCGTCGTTGCCTCGCTGGGCTCATCCTCGTGCGCCCCCTTGGCCCGACCTGGTGGGGTTCCTGGTGCCCTTCCTCCTTCTTCCAAGATGCAGGACCCGCCTTGCAGATGCCCCGAAGCGCCTCTCTCTGGGCCGAGGAGCGGCTGCCTTTAAGGAGCCATCGCCATAGGGGCCAAACTCCTCTTTCTCGGTGGAAATGGGAGGGCAACGCGCTTGTTTTCCATCTTGCTCTACAGGGAGAAAAATACAGAGAATCGGTTCTCTCTCCTCTCTCTCTGGCTCGCTCTGTTATTGTAGGAAGAAAACAACAGTGGCAAAATAGACAATTCCAGGCTTGTTGTGTTTTTTTAAAAAAAAAAAAACAGTGGGAAGAAGAGAATGTGTGGAATTTGAAACATCATTTTACTGGCCTCCCACTTAACTCCTAACATTACAACTATTTTTCTGCAGAAGAGGTAGACCCCTCCGTTCTTGCCAGTACCATGTACTGTATCTGCTGTTGCTTAGACCTAAATCAGGGTATTGAATGTCATCTGAATTTCTACTTAAAGGTCTCAGAGCAGCTTCCAGTAGTAATAATCATAGCCATAATCACAGAGCGAATTATCTTTAAGTGGGGGCAGGGGGTGGAGAGCAACAGTCACATGCAGCAGTAGGCTGATGAGATACAATTCTAATTAAAACCATTTAAATCCAGAATGGTTTGCTAGCCAAAGACCCATGCCAGGTTGATAGGAGAAAACAGCCACCTTTTGGTGGCCCCAATGAAGAGGGACATGCATCACCTAAAAGGATGATGAAGAAGGACACCGATTTACATAAATTTGCATAGGGAAATTCATACCTGTAGATGCAAACTGAGAGATGGTTCTTGCCAATGGAACAAAACTAGGGAGGCAACCCAGGCTGAATTATCTTGTTTGACGGACGCACTTCAAGGGCCCTGATCTCGGTCCTCCTTCTGGACCTTTCTGTTACAACCAGGGCTGGACTGGGCAGCCTTTGAAATGGAGAAGACCTCACACGCACACACGCACACACACACACGCACACACCCTTTGGCAAAACCAGAGGGTTGTCTTCCTGCCAGGATCCCTCCCTAAGAGAAGCCCTACACCCTCCCCCCACCCGCCCTGAAGGACCTCTGTGTGCCTTGATTTGCTTGTAGATTAGATTTTTAAGTCAGGCATTTCCAATCAGGGATGGAGACCGGGAGGGAAAACAATCAGCAGGACTGAAGCCGTGCTCTTTCGTAGAGTCTGGGGCAACGAACCCAGCCTGCCAGGACCTCTCCTAATGCCTGGGCTATTCATAGGTGCTTTGCCCTCTTTGGTGTCCCATGCATCTAACTCTCTCTCTCTCTCTTTCTCCCTCCCTCCCTGCCTGCTTCCTTCCCACCCCTTCCAACCGACCGTTGCTTCTGGAAAATGTAGGGATGGTACCCTTTGGAGTTTGACCCCTGTCTCCCTGATAAGGAGACAACTCCATCCTGCGCGCACGTGAGCCACACCCTCCGGGGGCTGAAATGCCAGCGCCTTCCGTGGCGGTGCCGATAAATCTCCCCTTTCATGCTCGGTGAAGATGGGGAAAAACGGCCCCACTGGCAAATCCCCGTCCATGGGCAAGATTTAAGCTGCTTGGTGGGTTGGCAGACGGCTGGTGGTGCTGAGCACGAGAAGTCAAGAGGAAGGAGGGCCTGCAGGAGCAGGGTGAGTCCTTTAACCCCCCCCAACGCCGCCCTGCCTCAATCGTTGGGAGGGTCCACCAAGGGGACCCTCGGGGTGGCTTTCTGCATCCCTCCAGGGCTTCTTGGGCATGCCAGACCCGAAAGGATGAGAGAGGCACCGGGCTGGTTTTCTGAGGCTTCAATGGGCCAGCCACATGGGCTGCCATTCTCTCTGGGCCGGATCCAGAGGCTTTGTTTCCCGTGTCCTGGTTGTCCTCAGCCTCCCTCCCTCCCGCCTTCCCAGCAAAGGCCAGGAACGCCTGCCAAGCAAACTAAAAGAAAACGAGGCTGTGATCGGAATCGACAAACGTCCCCCAAAATTTCCACTTGCCACAAAGCAGACGCCTCTCCAAGAGGTGTGGGGAACAGGCAAGGGGGTAGGGGGACCCCTTGGGAGGGGGTCCTAGGGTGGAAGATTGGGCGACGAACAGAAACCTCCTTGGGGATGCGCACATCTAGGCCGAGGGATCTCTCCAAAAGAAGAAAAAGGTCCCAGGATTCAGGACCCCGAGCGGCTTGGTCCCAGGGCAGGGCCGTGCCCACCTCCGCCCCACCAGCTGGGGTGCAAGGAGGAACATCCGGCTCCCACTTGGATGGATTCATCCCCATGAAAGGTACCTTAAAAGCCATTCAAACTGGCGGGAGATTTGGCTTCCCAAGGAACGACCGACCGGCTAGGCAGAGGAGAGAAGCAGGCACTCTCTCAAGCATGTGGCTGGCCCTTTCCTCTCTCTCTCTCTCTCTCTCTGTCTCAGAACTACAGATCTGCCTGCCTTCCTGCCTGCCTGTCTGTCTATCTAGACCCTGTTCCTAGATTTGGCAATCTGAAAGATGGGATCCGGGAAGAAAAGGGGTAAAAAGGGATGGGGTGGGGCATGATCCCAAGTAAGGACCACGTCCTAAAACTGCAGTTCTTGTGAAGAACCTCCAAGGTAGAAACCGTCCAGCCCACCCAACAGCAGAGCCGTCACCAGGTGCCGCTTGGGCACAGCCAGAGATGTCTCAGGAGATGGGCGAGGGGGGGAACCGTCAGTCTGCACCCTCCCAGGGTTGCGTCTTTGAGTATACTGTACTGTATAGGAACGCACGCAAGAGCCGATGTCTCTGGCAGGGCAGGTGCTCGCGGCGGCTGGAGGAAGCAAGGGGATGGCTCACTTGCCCTCGATGCCTGGTCACGGGGAGGGGGTGTCCCTTACCTGGGGTGCGCCTGCCACAGCTACACGAGTCACTAACCTTGCTTGTCCTCATTCTTGAAACATAAATCCACTGGTAAACTTCCCCTTCTTTCAGCTGCTGGTGAGTTTAAAAGCAACTTGAGCTTGAAGGGACCAAGTTACGAATGCTCCAGTTACTTGTAACAAGTTAGTCTTCAAAAGGTACATGGCAAAAATGGATGGAACACTGGCCTTTGCTAGTTGCTTTTCAATGTTTCTTCCAGAGGGCATTTTATAGACTTTTTAGAGAACTTTTCCCCCCTACAAAACCTGCACCCCAGCAAAGTAAGACAAATGAGATTATTTTTTGAAAACACTATAAGGAAGAACTCTGGTAAATAAATCCCTTTTCAAACATGATATTGAGTAATAGGGATTAATTAAAAAGCAACCCAGCATGCCTCCTCTCTGACACTTTCGTTGGCAGCCTGCCTGCCTGCAGACCCAAGAGCCTTTGGTGGCACATCTTGGGCATCTAAGGCGTTGGCACCCAGGTGTCCTTCCAGAGACCCTGGGGATGTCCAGCTGCACCTGAACTTCCTCCTCCTCCTCCTCCTCCAGGTGGGACCACCCCCAATCCTGAACGCGCCACCCACCTGCCAGGTGGTGCCTTGGCTCCCCCTCCACGGGCACCCTTGAGCGAAGGAGAGGAACTTGTTTGTCTGGCTCTCCGTCCTCGCACACAAAGCAGCACCGGGTGTATTTCTAGAATCGCCATCTCTCAGGCTTCCTCTCCTGGGGCTTGGGTTCTCATATACACGCATGGTGCCACTGCCCGTTCTTGGCATTGGAAGTCTCAGCTGCCCCGATTGGTGCTCCGTTGGCTTGACCGGACCCAGGCGAGGAACAGTAAGTGTGGTCTTCGGAGGGCCGGCACCCGTTCCTCCCCTCTCTCTATCAGGAAGAAGGGGTTCAGCAAAGGCACTTTGGTTGAGGGAAGGGGGCCTCCTACGCGAAGCCACGAGCCCCAAACTCCATAGCAAAGACCCCCTGCAGCCCAAAGGATAAACATGGCAGAGGAGCAGCCAGAGATAGAAGCAGGGCTGCTGGTTTACAGCAAAATATCTCTCTCTCTCTCTCTTTTTTTATCAAATTCTGCTCAGATCTGAAAGGACCTTGTTTTGGAAAAACAACAACAAAACATCTCGGCACCTGCTTGTCCCTGAGGTGAGTGGACGCCCACGGTCTTCGCTCCCCAACGTGCTGCGCTATAAAGCAGGGGAGATCCGTTGGCCGAGGGCAGGGGAAAGGAGGACGAACTTCTGGGCCACCTCCTAGAGTTCAGAACAGACCCACCACCTCCGGTTCCCACCTGACCTTCCAGGTATTGAGTGGCTCTCATCGGCTCGTTCCTGGTGAGTTCTGGCTGGCAGGCATCGCTTAGTGCTAGCAGATGGGCTTTTCTCTGAGGAATGCTCACAGGCGCACCTTCTTCCAGAATACTGCTGTGGAAACCATTCGGGTTGGGCGGTTGTGTTGTGTTTTGTTGGGAACACCTTGGCATCTTGGGTTTCCAGTGGCTGGGATATGAGAGGGTGGCTTTCTGTAGCTTTTTGCAAAATTCCCGGGGTGACGACCAGCGCGCCTTGCTTAATCGTCTTGATCGGACAATTCCCGCTGGCACAAAGGGGGGGGGAAGCACGCAGAATATCGGACTTCTTCCACTTTCCTCTCAACATGTGGCCATCTGGCCCTTCCCGCTGGAATTCAGTTGTTTCTTTTTCTGCTGGGTTGGAAAACTGCCCGGGTCGCAGGCAAACAAACTCCCCGGCTGTCTGGCTGTGGCTTTTGCGTCCAGTCCCTCACGTTGGGCGGCTGCCATCGAAGAGTGTTGTGGTCTCCACCCACCCACCCACCCTCACTCTCGAGCTCCTTCCACTGCTGAGTTGAAGGCTCGGGGACTCCAGGAAGCCCTTCTAGATCCCGAGGTCGGAGTGAGGCTGCTGCAGGAGCGACAATCCGCTGATCCCAGTCTCGCCTCGGGCTTCTTTGAGCAGATAAACGGGTCCAGAAGGCCAGGCATCCGGACCTTCCCGAGAGACGATGGAGCCAAGCACCACCCCGGGGGCCCCTGGGGCCACCACCACCGGCGGATGGGAGGCTTCCCCCGGACAGACCTTGGAGGCTGTGGATATCGCGGTCCTGGTCTTCTACTTTGTCTTCGTTCTGGCCGTAGGGCTCTGGGTAAGCAAGACCTTTCCCTGCGCTTTCTCTTCAGCCTCAAAAAGGAAGGTGCCCCATGGCGGGCTGAGGGTCAGAGGTCCTGGTGGCCGGCCGAGGCTGATCCGTGGAAATCCTGCTGCGGAGACCCTGGGCGGAAGGGGCCGCCGTTTTGAAGACTTGGTCCTTTCAGGCCGTTTGGTTTTGGGAGGGAGAAGCTATAAAATCAAAGCTGACGCCATCCCTAAGAGCCACCCCACACCTTCAGGGGATGGATTTTTCTTACGAGTGTCCTATATATTTTTAAGTTTTGCTTCATGGGGGGAAAAAACGGCAGAACCTGGATCAGTGAATACTTCATTTTTAAGAGTATGACTTGGCTCTGTCTTTAAGGTAAAAAAACAAACAAACAAACTTCATGCTTTTTCAGTTCTGAATTCAGAAAAAAGCGAAACCCTGGGGGGGAACTCTCCCCCACCCATGGCCTCCCTCTCTGGTGGAAGGAGATGCCGTTTAGGAAAGCTGCTCTTGTGGGCCTGGGGGAAATCCGTAGACTTTCAGCGTGAGATGACAGTTAGTGGAACAGGATGTGAATCTTGCATGAACGGCGACCGAGGGCATCACCCTAGCTGGTTGGGGCTGGATAGGAGAAATTCCTGCTTTTCTAGGGCCTTGAGGCTGGAAAAACTCCCATAAAAGCTCGGAATGTGTCCTGGTTTCGTAGCGTGGGTCAGGAGGTAAAGCTTCCCAGTCCCTCTGCAGAAGCTCCGTGCCGGATTCCAACACCCGCCCTATCACCCTCCGGCCGTGGCCCCTTGTCCTTTGCCCTCCGTGCCCAGGCGGAAGGGAAGTTTACACGTCTACCACTGAGTTTCCTAACATCTGGGTCGCCTCGCTGTCTCACATGACACACAGCTGCAGTGCTTTTTTTTTTCCAGGTCTGACTTTTGCCCTTTATCTGTGGAATCCAGGAAATCAATATTATTCACTCCTGGCATGCTCGGCCCGGGCACCGTGCCCCCGCCGCCTTGGCAGGGCCTCCACACAGCAAACAACGGAGCTGCCACCCTTTTGGGAAATGTCTCCTCGGCTCCTTCCTGAGCGTGTTGCACAAGAGCCTTGCACACCCGTGGCCTGGAGAACACGGGGGGGGGGCTTTCCCGATGGTGCCCCAGCTTCCTTCTTGCCGCCCAACCCTCCGTCTCCACTTCGGTTCCATCCACGCCTCCGTGCCCTCGGCCGCCATCAAGAGAATTTGAGAGGCTTTTCCTCCACCCCTCCCTGCCTTGCTCATGCCCCCCCCTCCTTCAGCAGCATCCTTCATTCCTCTTTGGGCCCACCTTGGCCTCCTCCCTTCTCTCCAAACATTTCCTGAAGGGTCCAAAGTTCTAGGCGCTGATCAGCCCTCTCGCCGGCACCTGAGCACACGCATATCCGTGGATCGCAAGCGCTCATCCTTGGCAGGGATGTGGAAGGATCTGGGATCAATTGAGGACACGAGGAGGCTGGCCTTCTACGTAAAAAGCCCTTGGTCAGAGTTGGGGAATGCAAGTGTCAGGTTTAACGTCTTCACAGCAGGTTTGCTACTTTTGCAACAAACAGGACGATAAGCGCATGAGGCATCCACGGAGCCTCATAAAAAGAACCCTTTGAAAGTGGTAGACTTGCATAAAGTTATTTTTTTAAGGTATTAGTATTTCTCTATTGCTTTTCCTCCCATTTTGTGCAAAAGTGGCAACCTTAAGGTGGATAGTTTACACCCACACCTCTCAGGTGCCTCCTCCTGTCACAGAGATGCGGAAGCAATAAGGACGGGTTGGATACTGGTAACAAAGCTGGCCCCTCTCCTAGATTCACTCCAGTTTGACTTAGTTTGGAAGGGGGGTTGTCTGTGTGTGTGTGTGAGAGAGAGATTGAGAGAGAGAGAGAAAGGCACAGCGAATGGTTTGCAATGAAGACCCAGCCGGATCTCCCGTATTCTCAGATTTCTCCCTTTTAAATTTTTTCTTCCCGTCAGTCCATGTGGAAGACAAAAAGAAGCACCGTGAAGGGCTACTTCCTCGCCGGAGGCCAGATGGTCTGGTGGCCAGTAAGTCCTCTCCCATACCTGCTTTCTCCACTGGGGACACTGGGAACCTTTTGGAGCCCAGCAGGGGCCAAACTCTTGGCCCCCTTCCTGGGATCAGTGCCCCTGCCCTGCCCCTCCAATCGCAGGAGGAGGACCCCCCCCCCGTGGCTTTTCTGTGCACTTTCAGTATGGATGACATGGACCAGAAATCTTGCTTGACTGGATTTTTTTTTTTTAATATTGGGCTCCTTACCATTCCTAGCTGTTAAATATAGTATTTTTAATGACGTTAAGCCACCTGGGGGTTTTTCTAAGGAGAAAGGCGGGGCAAAGATATTGTAAACCAATCAATGAATCAATAAAGGCGGGTGGGCCCTGAAACCTCGGGCAGTGGGGGGGGCACCTGGCCTGGCAGCCGCCAGCCTTACTCAGCCTGGTGAGGGGCAGCCAGCCTCTGGGGTGCAGGGGAGAGCTTGGCCCCTCTGCCC